TCATCTTTAAAATGGAGGGTTGACCCATCCAAAGCGACAATATGCGACAATCATTTAGCCAAATTTTGGCTTCGTATTTCTAGGGATTCAAAAGTTCCTTGATTGTCACTCAAGGGGTCTCTCAACGAATCCTCAAGAATCAAGAAAGACGGACAAGGACGCCCTTCCCAGCTCGAAAGACCAATCATGCGAATACATCACGTATGTAAGCAAGCCACGAGCAATCCAAACCCAGTGGTTGTCCAACCAAAGCGCAGAGATATGTGTCCAAATGAAACTTCAATAGCTGGCAAATCCGTGCCTTCATTGCAGGGCATGCAAAAAGCTGTTTTTCGAGCCAGTAAATCATCGGAATCACTTGAAACTTGACCACCAAAGCTCAGAATACAGTAGTTTCCCCGGCTGACTTGCAGTATTTCAGAACGTCTCCTTCAATTTAGGACAGTAAGTGCAGTCATAGACGGGTATCTTGCTGTGGTTCATGATCTCCAAACAGCGAAGTAGGTCATGGGACAATGGGACCAAAGCAAAGTTAGATATTTCAGGTGGGCAACATCTGTGGCAAACAGTGCGAATTGTGACTGCCAGACTTGTCACTCTACAGCACTGAGAATCCCGAAAACCACTGGACTTTCCTGAGACCTTCATAGACCTTCTGCATCATGGCCCCACTCGGTCATTGGCGGAGGCGCGATAATGATAATGGCTGTGACGGAAGCCCACCATTTCCGGCTAGCCAACTTACCGTTTGTACCTGTGTAATAGTTTATCAATGTTTATACCTGACATGTTCAAGTTTTCTTGCAGAATGACGAACTAAAATAGGACATCATCCAAGCTCCCTACAGCCCGATGTCTTCTCACTTTTCACGGTCGAAGAGTTCGGGGCTTCTGGCAGGACTGTTTCCTGCAAATATTTGTCGCTTCTTAAGCACACCTTCTCACTGGTCTAGTCTGGCCTCTGGTGCTTCTGTTGATCCTCTTGGCTACATCCTAATTCTAATCAATGAGTTCATCCAAAGTTTTGAGGAATATGTGCAGATTGTGCAGTGTCCATTTGGATGTGTTGCTGGTGTGTTTCTGCTCCGCCACTGCTCCACGGCAACTCGGGCCATGGCTCATTCGAAGGCAGTGGACTCCAAGCTTTCCAGGGCGTCGCCAATGGCTCCAGCTGGCTTTACAGTCGGAGGTCCCTGCAATGGCCATGGTGCGTGTGGGCCCTGTTGGGGACCCACATCCAGTCAGTGGTAGGATAGAAGCTGGTGTAACCCCTAAGCAAAAGGAACATCCATGACAGAAGACGCACTGCATTTGAATGAATCCAGCGCCAATAATATACAGTAGTTACAGTATATACTCTGAAATCATTCCGTCAATTCAGCAGGTATATGTTGAAGTGGGCAAGCAAGATCAATAGCGGAAAAAACATGGATGAATTCATTGCATATTTCGTGGCATCTGCTCATCCGACATATCAAGTATCTCACATTGAATATGTAACCACCAATAATGTCAGATATTGTCAGATCAGTCAGCAACATATGGCTATGAGTCCAAACCTTCCTTTCCCTATAGATTAAAATAGTTGGTTTATGGATGTTGATTCCCCCAGTCATATTTGGTTATGAATGGTTATGACCCATCCCCCATATGCTGGCCATGAGTGACCTGCTGGGGTGCCGGCCTTGAAGCTCTTGGCCGTGACGGCAAATTGACTCGCTCGTCCATTCAGTACTCCCTGGCGCGGAAAACGTGGAGACAATAAACGTCGACCCACACAGATTCGAAACGGCACCCAAAGAAATCATGGCGCTGTGTGGGTTGACATTTATTGGGAATGCCATAGTATTCCATGTTAATTCCATAATTTGGGAATCATATGGAATAGTGATGATGAATGTCTATTCTTTTTACCTCTCTAGCTGACGCGCGATATACTGTAGAAGACGATCTTGATGGCAGTGTTTCCAACAGCAGCACGATACCAATACGAACCATTGGTTGGACGAGAATATTCGCCTAAATACTGGCCAGATCTTACAGTCCGTGCTACAAAATATTCCATGGGCTTGTTGGTGGGTTTTCCGTGTGACTGAAACACACTGAAACTAATTTACGTGTCTCATTCCATGTGCTTCAGCCAAAGATCACTAAGAAAATCAAGAAACCGTTTATCGTTGATCTGCCCTGCAACATCCTACAACTGAATGTGGATATCATCACACATTTACATATTATACCAGTTATACAGTTATACATTCAAATTACTCATCGTGGATACACAAAGACATAGCCGATGCTTGGCCGTGCTCGGCCGTTCCCGCCTGGTCCTTCAGCTGTTGGGTCTTGAAGGCACTCGCCTGCAGAGCTTCGAAGGGATGTTCTCCGCTCTTTGGAGCCTTCTCCACGCCTCCGATCTTGTACCTGGTGCTACTGTGGAAGAAATCCTGCAGTTGATAGGTGTTTTATACCATTATTTGCAGGGTTTCAACCACAGTATGGGTAGACCCCTGGCTGGAACAATGCTTTTTAAAAATCTCTGAATTCCTGGTACTTTCAAAGCCCCAAAAGGTGGATGATTGTATCAAAAAAAAACGGTGTTGACACTCACGTTTTTCGTCGTGGGTGAAATATTGTGCTGAAGGCAGTGACCCCAAAGTAAAGCCATAGGTAATGTTGCGCCCTACAAATCCCTGAAACATGTTTCCATCTGGGTCTGAGATTTCTCATTTTTCAATTTTGGGCACACCCATTGAATGGGTTTGTCCAAAATAACCCAAAATCCAAAGGCTTATCATGGCTTATCATAGTTTATCCAAGATTGCAATTTTTGGTAAATCCTATTACTTGGCCAATCTTGCATACCCTTCAAAAAAATATTTATGATTAGCTGGGTGGTATAATATATAATCCATTATAATCCCATGTGCTTGCCAGTGGCAAATCCATTTGCTTCGATGATGTTCCCAGCGAACGAGCTAGCTCCAGCGTTCGCTATAGCAACGGGGGATTCTCCAGCTATAGCAACGTTTGATTATAGTATAATATAGTATGAACCATAATTATAATATAATTATTATATATGTATATTATAGTTTATATACCAGCTATACCCCAGTTATAATATATTATAATATGATGGGTATAATTATTATATTATTAATTTTCGACCATATTCACTGAAATATGACTGGTTACTATGGACAATTGGTCCCGGCCAGCGGCCGGCAACCCCACCCCCCTTATGCTATCCCCCCCAGCAACCACCCCCATGGGGCACCCTAGCCATCTACGACATTCTACGACCATCTGTCAAGATCTCATATGCTATACATGCTGACCTCGTGCCACCTATACACTAACAGGATACCTCCATGCAGTCTTCACTACTGCCTATATTTCCATGCAATCTATTCACAACGTTTTCCCGTAAAGTACCTTTATAGTAGCCATGTACTAGCTACTGTCAAGATCTCATGTGCTATACATACGTGCTGGCCAAGTACTACCTATACACTATCTACATGATACCTCTATAACACCCCATCCATCCCACAGGGGGGGAGTGGGGGTAAGCTACACCTTGCATGATTCTATTTAATTACAACGTTTTACTGCCCATAAAGTACCTTTGTAGTAGCCATATACTAGCTACTGTCAAGATCTCATATGCTAACATAGTGCTACCTAACACTATCGTCATGGTACCTCTATAGCACCTACCCATCCCATAGGGGGGGCGTGGAGCATTGTAGCTACATACTTCCTACTTTTTGCTTTACATGCTAGTGACACACTACCTAGCCCCCACCCATCCCACAGGGGGATTGGATGTGTAAACTATATCGTATACATAGAGCCTCCTACATAAAGCGTACACACAGCGTACATACAGCGTACGTACAGGAGGACATTATTACATTCAAAATCTCTATGTAACATGTAAATATATAATATTACGTTATAGTACTATGGGGTTATTTTTCACAAAGCCAAATCTTTGCAGCCAACCTTCCCATACTGCGCACGGGCCCCTGGTAGCTCCATTGGAAGCGTGGGAGTAGACAATGCCCGTGGGCGAAAACCTGGCATTGGCGTGGCCCGCACGAACAGCAGACCATAAAATTGGCCCCGGGAGGTCGCCGGCCTCGTTTCCTTGATCATGTCCAGCAGACCCGGGCCCGGTGGCACCACACCTCCCCTGCCTCCCCTTGGGCCCCTTTCGGCATCGCGATGGAAGGTGCTGGCGCTAAAAAAGGTTCAGCAAGTTTACCCATTGATCGCTGATTGCAAGAGAAAAACCCTGTTCAGACATGTAGTTTCTCTGACCCTTTTACACGTTGGGATGAAAATCAGATCAGGCCTGTTATGACCGCTATGGTAGTATGTGTGTATGTTTATATAGAAGTTGATGGCCATGTTTTGGGTGAACCTAAGTTTTTTTTGTTTGCGGGAGTGTTTTTTTCAGGTTTTTACCCTCAAGGTGTTTTCATTCCCCTTTGTAACGACTGTAAGAGATCTCATGTAGATTGCGTCCTAAACAACATATCCCCACAGAGTCACAGAGCGACAAGCAACCAATGGTGGCACTTTCGAGCATTGGCAACTGGATTGTTTGAAGCATGCAGTTGCCCTGGAGTTCCACTTCGACGGCGAAAGAAATAAGGACTTAAACTGTGAGAGACTATAAACATCTTACAGAGATACATTTGTAAGCATCTTACAGACTTACACGTAGACCGACAAAAACTGTGTATACTGTATACCCAAATAATACTATATATTACTAGATTTTGTTTAATATATCATGTGATGTATCGATATGTAACAGTCCCCGCAAGTGGGTCAAATCTTGGTGGCATAAGGTTAGTGCACCATTCAGAGTTTGAGGTTTCTCAAAAAAAAACTGCCACACTAAAAAATTATCATGTTTGATGATTTCGCGGTCCCCAAATGTTAGGAAACCGCAAAAGAAACCCCATTTAGAGGATAATTGCAGCCACGTCAGCAGCGATTTTGTGCGGACCAATCAGCATGTTTGTCGCAATTCAGCTGACCAGCACCTGGCGGCACAGTGGTGACGTTTGGAGACAGTTGGGTCGCATCTAGGGGGCTTGCAAGAATAACCAACCCAGAAACCATTGATAACATAAAACATCCGTAAAAAACCATAAAAATCATCCAACCATATCCAACATCTACGTAGTCCAAAATGGTACTTATTCATGAAGATGGTTGGATCATCAAGGCCTTGGAAAATCTGCACAACCGCACTGACTGTCTGTTCCCCCAGCCATGGTGCTTTACTAACGTAAAGCGTGATGTTGAGAGTATGTCTTCATGGTCCCAACTGCAAGTTACTGACTTTAAATTTGGAAAAACCATGTTGAACCCTCGGGAAATCTTGGCTGTGAGGGATATACAGGGCAGCTTTAAAAAGTAATCGTGATCCATGCTCACAAACTTAATTTTGTCTGAACAGAATATTTCAAAAAAAAACACTGGTTTAAGTTTAAGTCTCATTAATTTCCGATTCGAAAAGGCAAATGTTTGGCTATGCCCACTTATTTCCACAGGCGTAGCAGGTGCCCCCTCCAGAGCGTGTGGGCCTTGACTCGAACAGTCTTCAGGCCTGCAAGCCATTGGTTTCCCGCAAGCCCTGGCTACTTGTCGAAAGTTGTTCCCTGCAGTTCTTATATCCCATGGGATGAAGGGCCATGTGCCCAATTGCCCTGGTCAAATCACTAGATATTCTTTAAAACTTAGGTACCATCTAGGGGCTTCATTTGAATAATGCCATTCGCTTATCAGTACTTATCAGCCACAAAATCATCTACACCTGACATCACGTGACAATTCTACTTATCATCAGTCATTACACACATAGATCTTGGAGTAAATTCAACTTTCACAATCTGGATTTGGAGTTGGCATCTTTGAAATCCTATGAAATCAACATGAAATCCTATCTCCCGCTTGCTTCAGCTCTGATTCCTCCCCAGCGAGAAGTTTAGATCTCAAAGGTCCACACCTCATCCACTTTCCGCCTCTTGGCCGCCTAACGCGAGCTGGAAATGGATAGAATGATAGAGGCTGCATTTTGCTGCAGCTTGGCGAAACAAGTTCTTGGTGGAACACCTGCTGTTCAGGAAAATGCATGAAAATGCAATGTTTGAGAAACGATGGTTCTTACATGTTCTTACCAAGAGCAAATCGCTCCTTGCCAGAACAGGGGTATAGCACTCGTTTGAAACTGTCCATCATGTAAAATCCAACCAGCAATTCTGCGAAGTGAAATTCTGTAAGCTTGTTGGGGCCCCTGGTTGCTTCCCTTCCATCCCGGCGCCACTGGCCTGTTCATGACTGGGATGACCGGCTCGTGTTTCCCAGGCCTGGAACACGGACCGAGCTGTTCATGTAGAAGTTAGATCAATCAATATTTATATATAAATGGAGTTAAATGGAGGTTTCCTGGAGGTGCCCCTAAATCTAAATCATCCATTTATAGATGGATTTTCCAGTATAAACCATCCATTTTTGGGGTATCCATATTTATGAAAACCTCCAAATCATTAAATCTGGTTTCACTTCACAGCCCTAGCCTACAAATGTTCCAACTGGCTTGCCAGTTGTACATGGCATGGGTATGTTTTTGGACATCACTTCCACGTTGTCAAACAACTTCAAACGCCTCACGCCAAGAATTATCTCATGCTGCTGGCCTCCATCATGGGTGTTCCCGGTGCCGATGTGACGGGCGCGACACCTACTGGCGTCTGGGGTGCAGCCTCACCACCGTGCACCGGTGCAAAGCCAGGGGTCATTGGAGCCATATCCGGGGTGGCCGGCGTGGCTGCTGCTCTGACACCTGGTGCTGGTGTACTTGGAGCAGCCTCTCCTCCAACGATAGGCATAAATGCTGGTGTGGATGGGTTCTCCTCACCAATCGGGGTCAGGAGGACACTCCTGGTGCTCGTTGGCATCCCCGTCTCTGACGAAACTGCAGCTGTCTGCGGGGGTCGAGATATGGTTGGCCTTGATGAAGTAAGCGGTGGAGCGGCTGAAGCAGGTTGGGACAGATTTGATGTATTGTGTGGTGCAGCCACCGCTGTCGCTGGTGGTGGTGTAGGCGTCTTGGGTGCTGGTCGGCCTGGATTGTTCGGAGTTTGTGGAGGAGGTCCAAGGGGAGTCCACGGCTGAACTGTAGGCGAAGCTGGAGTCCCTGGCTCTGCGCCTGGGCTCGGAGGGGGTCCAGCGGGTGTACCAGGAGGTGCCGAAGAACCAGCAAGTCCAGGTGTGAATGGATTGCTGCTGCCTGCTGGTGATTTGGGAGGTGGTCCTGCTGGTGTGCCGGGTTGCCCGGGTGAGTTGGGAGGTGGTCCTGCTGGTGTGCCGGGTTGCCCGGGTGAGTTGGGAGGTGGTCCTGCTGGTGTGCCAGGTTGCCCAGGTGAGCTGGGCGGCGGTCCTGCTGGTGTGCCAGGTTGCCCTGGTGAGTTGGGCGGCGGTCCTGCTGGTGTGCCACTAACTGGTGTTCCTGGTGTGTATGGTTGTGTTTGTGATTGTGGAGTCAGTCCTGCTGGTGTAGCAGGTGGGGGTCCTGCTGGTGTACCAGGTGGAGGTCCTGCTGGTGTGTATGGTTGGTTGACACCTGGTGTTGGGGGAGGCGGTCCTGCTGGTGTACCAGGTGGAGGTCCTGCTGGCGTGTAAGGTTGGCTCCTTACAGCACCTGTTGGAGGAGGTGGTCCTGCTGGTGTACCAGGTGGGGGTCCTACTGGTGTGTATGGCTGGCGAGTTCCAACTCCCGGTGTTGGGGGAGGTGCTCCTGCTGGGGTGAAAGGCTGCGGGGTAGAATGACCGCCGACTGGTGTCATCGGCATACCCTGTGGTAGAGGTGGAGTCTTGTCCTGCATCCGAGCGGCTCCAGGCATTGGTGTTGCTGGCACTGATTCCATAACCCCCACACCCGGTGTGGCCGGCACAGATTCCAGAATAGAACTGAATCCCACACCTGGTGTTGCCGGGACTGACTGCAGAACCGTGTTGGATTCCAAACCTGGCGTCATTGGTACAGATTGCATAACCAAGTGAGGAGCTGCCGATGGGGTTGCTGGGACAGACTGCAGGACACTTCCAGGCCCCGGCGTCAGTGGCACTCGTTGCAGGACTGGAGTCATTGGAGCTCCATAAATTGGTGTGGAAGCTGCTGGGGTCGTCAATCTAGGTGTGGCTGGAGTGGATCGCAACACCGCACTCTGGGTCTTGTAGGCCGTCACAGGTGTCATGGGTACTGGCTGCCCCATCATTGGGGTGTAGGGCTGTGGTGTCATGGGCTGCGTCTTGCGCGACTCTGCTCCAAAGCCGTAACCTGAAGGTCAGAGGTCCCAAATTTCCCTTGGATTTAACAAACCAAAAAAAAACTGTTTCAAGATGCTATTAAGCAATCAAAATTGGGATTCAACCAACAGAACTTGGACCAAAATAACCAACATGGCATATGAATAATATCCATATCGTTGGTTTGCAAGAGGGCAATGAATCACGAAACAAGTGCATGCCATCAACTTTTGTTGTGGGTTTTCAAAACACAACAACAGGATCCTGCGTGTTTGGAGCTACGCTTTACTGTCTGTATACTACGCATATATGAGAATACATCACACACATATGAAATCCATGAGGCGAGATTATACCGAAAGATACGGAACGTGTATCAAACATTATCAAAAGTGTATCGATGTGTCTTAAACCAATATCCCATCCACATTTCAAAGAAACATACCTTCCCAATAATATTATGACTACAATCAGAACCATATGGGTATGGGTTGTTTGAACATAGACTAGTAACGGACCCACATCTTTGGTCATTCTTAGTCGGGAACCATCCATTTTTTTGGTCAACAAGGTTGAACCATACCTTCATATCAGCATTTGAATATGTCTACATAAATCCAATCCAACCAGATCTAACCATATCTAACCTATGTTTGGATGAGTTTTCAGCATTCACCAAATTGACCAAGGACTGTCGAGAGACCAGGTGTGTGGGGCACGGACTTCATGACGTTGGTCGTGTCTCCTCCCTTCACCTCGGTAGGCAATCCTCAAAGGAAAGTGTCAACAACAAAAACCGCCTGCCTCCAGTGAATGTATATATATATATATATAGATACACACATGTAAATATATATACATAAATATGTAAATATATATATATATATACACACTATTATGTATTAAACTGTATGTATGTATTAAACTGTATGTATGTATTAAACTGTATGTATGTATTGTATGTAATGTATGTAATGTATGTAATGTATGTAATGTATGTAATGTATGTAATGTATGTATGTAATGTATGTATGTAATGTAATGTATGTAATGTAATGTATGCAATGTAATGTATGTAATGTATGTAATGTATGTAATGTAACGTATGTAATGTAATGTATGCAATGTAATGTATGTAATGTATGTAATGTATGTAATGTATGTAATGTATGTAATGTAATGTAATGCAATACAATGCAATGCAATGTAATGCAATGCAATGCAATGGAATGTAATGTAATGTACTGTGAGTGATGCATGTGATGCATGTGATGCATGTGATGCATGTGATGCATGTGATGCATGTGATGCATGTGATGCATGTGATGCATGTGATGCATGTGATGCATGTGATACATTTGATGCATGCAATGCATGCAATGCATGTAATGCATGTAATGAATGTAATGCATATAAAGCATGTAATGCATGTAGTGCATGTAATTCATGTAATGTATGTAATGTATGGTATGTATGTATGTATGTAGGTAGGTAGGTAGGTAGGTAGGTATGTATGTTATGTATGTTATGTATGCTATGTATGTCATGTATATTATGTATGTTATGTATGTTATATATGTCATGTATGTCATGTATGTCATGTATGTCATGTATGTCATGTATGTAATGTATGTCATGTATGTCATGTATGTCATGTATGTAATGTATGTTATGTATGTTATGTATGTTATGTATGTTATGTATGCTATGTATGCTATTTATGTTATGTATGTTATGTATGTTATGTATGTTATGTATGTTATGTATGTTATGTATGTTATGTATGTAATGTATGTAATGTATGTAATGTATGTAATGTATGTAATGTATGTAATGTATGTAATGTATGTAATGTATGTAATGGGTATAACGTATGTAATGGATGTAATGTATGCAATGTATAAAATGTATGTTATGTATGCTATGTATGCTATGTATGCTATGTATGTTATGTATGTTATGTATGTGATGTATGTCATGTATATTATGTATGTTATGTGTGTTATGTGTGTTATGCAAGTTATGCATGTTATGCATGTTTTGTATGTCATGTATGTCATGTATGTCATGTATGTGATGTATGTGATGTATGTTATGTATGTTATGTATGTTATGTATGTTATGTATGTTATGTATGCTATGTATGCTATGTATGTTATGTATGTTATGTATGTTATGTATGTTATGTATGTTATGTATGTTATGTATGCTATGTATGCTATGTATGCTATGTATGTTATGTATGTTATGTATGTTATGTATGTTATGTATGTTATGTATGTTATGTATGTAATGTATGTAATGTATGTAATGAATGTAATGTATGTAATGTATGTAGTGTATGTAAAGTATGTAAAGTATGTAAAGTATGTAAAGTATGTAATGTATGTAATGTATGTAATGTATGTAATGTATGTAAGGCATGTAATGTATGTATTGTATGTAATGTATGTAATGTATGTAAGGCATGTAATGTATGTATTGTATGTAATGTATGTAATGTATGTAATGTATGTAATGAATGTATGTAATGTATGTATGTAATGTATGTAATGTAATGTATGTAATGTAATGTATGCAATGTAATGTATGTAATGTATGTAATGTATGTAATGCATGAATGTAATGTATGTAATGTAATGTATGTAATGTAATGTATGTAATGTATGTAATGCATGAATGTAATGTATGTAATGTAATGTATGTAATGTAATGTATGTAATGTAATGTATGTATTGTATGTAATGTATGTAATGTATGTAATGTATGTAATGTAATGTATGTAATGTATGTAAGGTATATAATGTAATGTAATGTAATGCAATGCAATGTAATGTAATGTAATGTAATGTTATGTATGTATGTATGTATGTATAGATGGATAGATAGATAGATAGATAGATACATAGATAGATAGGTAGGTAGGCAGGTAGGTAGATACATAGATACATCGTTACATAGATACAATTAGATACAATTAGATACAATTAGATACAACTAGATACAATTAGATACAATTAGATACAATTAGATACAACCAGATACAATTAGATACAATTAGATAAGATAAGATTAGATTAGATAAGATTAGATCAGATTAGATAACATTAGATAAGATTAGAAAAGATTAGACAATATTAGATAAGATGAGAAAAGATTAGACAAGATTAGATAAGATTAGATAAGATTAGATAAGAGTAGATAAGAACAGGTCAGATTAGATAGGGAAACAGATAAATAAATAGATAGGTAGATAGATAGATAGAATAGATAGAATAGATAGAATATATAGAATAGATAGAATAGATAGAATCGATAGAATAGACAGAATAGATAGAATAGAAAGAATAGATAGACTAGATAGACTAGATAGAATAGAATAGAATAGAATAGATTAGATTGAAAATGATTGATTAGATTGGAAATGATTGGATTAGATTGGATTAGATTGGATTAGATTGGATAGATTGGATAGATTGGATACATTGGGTAGATTGGATTAGGGTATTGGATAGAAAGGATAGATAGATAGATAGATAGATAGATAGGTAGATAGATAGATAGGATAGATAGATAGTAGATAGATAGATAGATAGATAGAAAGATAGATAGATAGATAGGATTAGATTAGATTAGATTTGATTAGATTAGATTAGATTAGATTAGGATTAGATTAGATAGATAGACAGACAGATAGATAGGTAGATAGATAGAAAATAGATAAATAGATAGAATAGATAGATAGATAGAGATAGATAGATAGATAGATAGATAGATTAGATAGATAGATAGTAGATAGATAGATAGATAGAAAGATAGATAGATAGATAGATAGGATTAGATTAGATTAGATTAGATTAGATTAGATTAGATAGATAGATAGATTAGATAGATTAGATAGATTAGATAGATTAGATAGATTAGATAGACAGATAGATAGGTAGATAGGTAAATAGATAAATAGATAAATAGATAGATAGATGAGATAGATGAGATAGATTAGAGAGATTAGATAGATCAGATAGATTAGATAGATTAGATAGATTAGATAGATTAGATAGATTAGATAGATTAGATAGACAGATTAGATAGATTAGATAAGAAACAGATAAGAAACAGATAAGAAACATATAAGAAACATATAAGAAAAGATAAGAAAAAGATAAGAACAATGTAAGAAAAAATATAAGAAAAATATAAGAAAAAGGTAAGGAAAAGATAAGAAAAAATAAGAACACGATAAGAACGGATAAGAAAAGATAAACTTAGATAGATAAGATTAGATAAGATAAGATAATACAATAAGAAGAGATAAGAGAAGATAGATAGGTAAATAGTTTCATAGATAGATAGATAGATAGATAGATAGAGAGATAGATAGATAGATAGACAGACAGACAGACAGATAGATAGATATATAGATAAATAGTTTGATAGATAGAAATATAGCTAGATAGACAGAAATATAGATAGATACATAGATGGAGAGATTAAGAAATTAAGAGATCAAATATGTAAAAATGGATGGATGGATGGATGGATATATGGATGGATCGATAGATAGATAGATAGAGTAATAGAATAACGGATTAGATAGATAGATAGATAGATAGATAGGTAGATAGATAGATAGATGGATGGATGGATAGATAGATAGATTAGATAGATTAGATAGATTAGATAGATTAGATAGATTAAATAGATTAGATAGATTAGATAGATTAGATAGATTAGATAGATTAGATAGATTAGATAGATTAGATAGATTAGATCGATTAGATAGATTAGATAGATTAGATCCATTAGATAGATTAGATAGGTTAGATAGATTAGATAGATTAGATTAGATTAGATTAGATTAGATTAGATAGATAGATAGGTAGATAGATAGATCGATAGACCGATAGATAGATATATCATTAGATGGACGGATGGATAGATATATAGATAGATGGATAGATATATCGATGGTTGGACGGATGGATAGAGAGATAGATAGATAGGTACATAGATAGATAGATCGATAGATCGATAATGATCGATAGATAGATAGATAGGTACATAGATAGATAGATCGATAGATAGATAGATAGGTAGATAGATAGATCGATAGATAGATAGATAGATGGATTAGATAGAACGATAGATAGAACAATAGATAGAACGATAGATAGAACGATAGATAGAACGATAGATAGAACGATAGATAGATAGATAGATAGATTGATAGATAGATAGATAGATAAATAGATAGATAGATAGATAGCTAGATAGATAGATCAAAAGATGGATGGATGGATGGATAGATTGATAGATAGATCGATAGATAGATAGATAGATAGGTATATAGATAGATAGATCGATAGATAGATAGGTAGATAGATAGATCGATAGATAGATATATCAATAGATGGACGGATGGATAGATATATAGATAGATGGATAGATAGATACATCGATGGATGGACGGATGGATAGAGAGATAGATAGATAGGTACATAGATAGATAGATCGATAGATCGATAGATCGATAGATCGATAGATCGATAGATCGATAGATAGATAGATCGATAGATCGATAGATCGATAGATAGATAGAACGATAGATAGATAGATCGATAGATAGATAGATAGGTAGATAGATAGGTAGTTAGATAGATAGATCGATAGATCAATAGATTGATAGATACATAAATCGAAAGATGGACGGATGGATGGATGGATAGATAGATAGATAGGTTTATAGATAGATAGATAGATCGATAGATAGATAGATAGGTAGATAGATAGATCGATAGATAGATAGATAGGTACATAGATAGGTAGTTAGATAGATAGATCGATAGATCGATAGATTGATAGATACATAAATCGAAAGATGGACGGATGGATGGATGGATGGATGGATAGATAGATAGGTACATAGATAGATAGGTTTATAGATAGATAGATCGATGGATCGATAGATCGATAGATCGATAGATGGACGGATGGATATATAGATAGATAGACAGATAGGTAGATAGATCGATAGATGGATAGATCGATAGATAGATAAATCGATAGATGGATATATAGATAGATAGATAGATAGATAGATAGATAGATAGAAAGATAGACAGACAGACAGATAGACAGATAGATAGATAGATAGGTAGATAGATAGATAGATCGATAGATCGATAGATAGATGGATCGATGAATCGATAGATCGATAGATAGATAGATCGATAGATGGATGGATAGATAGATAGATAGATCAATAGATCGATAGATAGATATATCGATAGATAAATAGATGGATAAATAGATAGATAGATAGATAGATTGATTGATTGATTGATAGATAGATAATGATAGATAGGTAGATAATGATATAATGATAGATAGATAATGATATAATGATAGATAGGTAGATAATGATATAATGATAGATAGATAGATAGATAGATAGATAGATAGATAGATAGATAGATAGATAGATAGATAGATAGATAGATAGATAGATAGATAGATAGATAGATAGATAGATAGATAGATAGATAGATAGATAGAGATAGATAGATAGATAGATAGACAGATAGACAGATAGATAGATAGATAGATAGAGAGAGAGAGAGATAGATAGATAGATAGAATAGATAGATAAGATAGATAAGATAGATAAGATAGATAAGATAGATAGATAGATAGATAGATAGATCGATAGATAGATAGATAGATATATAGATAGATAGATAGATAGATAGATAGAGAGATAGAGAGATAGAGAGATAGATAGACAGATAGACAGATAGATAGATAGATAGGTAGATAGGTAGATAGATAGATAGATAGGTAGATAGGTAGATAGGTAGATAGGTAGATAGGTAGATAGATCGATAGATCGATAGATAGATAGATCGATAGATAGATAGATAGATAAATAGATAGATAGATAGGTAGATAGATAGATCCATGTCGGAAATTTGTAACATCTATAAGGAAGAATTCTGGGCCCACGGGATGTTGTTTTTCTTCTTGTTCTGTACTTGCCAGCTAGCCCCAGAATTCCCAGAGCATCATTCAACTTGTTTGAACATTGGGACATGAATAACGCCCACTCCTCAAGGAACCAAGCCTAAGTTGCGAAGGAAACATAATGCCCAAGGAAGAAAGTACAACAATATGTTGCCAATAATTATCATCATCACGCAATATCTACATATATATATGTGTATATTATGTGTACAACATGTGTATATATATATATAACGACATATATATATATACATAATATAAACAAAAAAACTGCACTTTCCAGGATGAGAGGATATCTGTTGGTTGCCAAGGCACCATGTCGTCGTCGGGACCTGAAATAAGGGCAGCTATTTTCAGGGTCGATGTTCATGTCCTGAACGGTAAAATATGATTTGGTTTAAGGGCTGAGCCGTTCAAGATCGACAGCACTTAAAAGTTGTCACTAAAATGACGACACGTATGAAAAGTTGGATGCTGGAAGACGAAAACGAATCCTCTTAAGGGCGATTCTCATCAACCAACTCACTGGCCCAACAGCCTGTTAGGGATTTCGTTCGAATCTGTGGAACATGCTGGGCATTGCTGGGCCAAGGTGCTAAATGAAGGCACCAGGTCCTCTCCCTTCAACTCGTCAGGTCGCCTGACGCTTGGAACCAGTTTCTGGATCATCTCCGCCACTGCGTTGATCCTTGGGCCAGACTGGTGGGGGAGATGGGTCTAGGCCAAATCGCACTTTAGATGTACAAATGTGAAAGATAAAGAAAAGTATCTGCCCCTGCTCCATGCAAGTACAGTTAGATGACCTTGCTTCCGATCTTTTCCTCTCTTATGAATCCCTCTCCCTGCCCGGCTCAGTTGAATACCAGAAGTTGAGCCCAAGGTTTTCACGTCAAAAGAACACCCGGGGGAGGACCCCGGAGGACCTAGGACCTAGTCGTTATTGGTCATGCGTCTTCATATCGAAGTCTGAATCTGCATCTCAATGACTATCTGAAAATGCCCTTGTCTGAGTGTCTACGCATGACTGGAGGCATGGTGCCTAGTGATATCTAGTGATATGTTGATTTGCACAGGATGGAAGCCTTCGCAACAGTGTCCACAGTGTCCGTGGAGTCACTGGGGCCGTCTCTGCCGAGGATCTCTGGCTCACACCATCCCTTGTCTTTCCACTTCACCAGGATTGAAGAATAAAATTTCTGTGCCAAATCTTCGCAGTTGCTATCTTGCAGAGCCCTTTGGAAGATGTCACCTGCAACAAAACGTGCACCATCACAAACAGTGTGCTATAGGCACGGCTGAGCAAGTCTAGCTTTGCAGGTGTGCACAATACTGCGACACCAATTGAATTCCACTTGATAGATCTTGATAGCATCTCCAACTGAATTAGGAGGCCAGTTCTCAATATCTGTGATTCCATAGACTTTTTAAAGTTTCTGATTACTAGTATATACACAATGCATATAATATATTATAAAATAATGTCTATATATATATAATATATATATATAAAATATCATATGCGTATAATATTTACGTGTTATATGGATATCAAGCCAGCAACTCCGAGTTTGGACCCACTGACCAAGCGACACAATTGGTCTTGGAGGTGCGCTTCAAAAAGCTTGCGCAGCGCCTGGCGATGTTGGGAGATGCAAGCGTTGGATCAGAAAGATCTGTGTCAAACACCAACTGAGGTCCAATCCTCGCTTTCATTGGATATATTTGGTTATACATGTTCTGCCAGGATTCTTGGAAGTATCAAACGCATCAAAATGTCAAATTCTTGATTTTGTCTATTGGGTCATCCGAGCACGCGTTACAATCTCGCCAATGGTCATGAATGATACGGATATCAACTCAAAACATCGTTTTTTGAATTTTGGCTCCGTTCATGAGTCATTTGGCCATTTGAGCGCAGCTATAGCTATCGGATTCCAGCAAGGCCATGACGTTAATCAGTTTCCTAGCTCAAACCGAGGGGTCCATCGCTACAGAATGTTGGCTGGATCATCATGATTGTGTATCTTAGCATAGTTTGGCCTATAGGGCCTTGTGCGCACAGAACGGCAAAACTAAATGCATTCTGTAGTCGTTGTGATCATCAACAATACCATGACTATCACCATGGTCCTCATAGTCCTCATAGTCCTCATAGTCCTCATAGTCCTCATAGTCCTCATAGTCCTCATAGTCCTCATAGTCCTCATAGTCCTCATAGTCCTCATAGTCCTCATCATCTTCGTCATCCTCATCATCCTCATCCTCCTCGTCCTCCTCCTCCCCCTCCTCCTCCCCCTCATCATCATCATCATCATCATCATCAGCATCACCATCACCATCACCATCACCATCACCATCGTCATCATCATCGTCATCATCATCATCATCATCATTAATAGCAGAATCATCATCGTTATCAACGTTATCATCATTGAATATCGTCATTGTCATCCTCATCCTCATCCTCCTCCTCGTCATCGTCATCGTCATCGTCATCATCGTCATCATCATCATCATCATCATCATCATCAGCATCACCATCACCATCACCATCACCATCACCATCGCCATCATCATCATCATCATCATCATCATCATCATCCTCATCCTCATCCTCATCCTCATCCTCCTCATCGTCATCATCGTCATCGTCATCGTCATCGTCGTTGACAGACCCGATAGTCCTTTTGCAGCTGTCACCAAACTTGTAGCTGTATGGCATCACCCAGTGACCATGGCCGTTGTAAAACGGATGCAAATCATCACATCAGAGATCAGTATTGATTGCAATCACCAAATCACGAAATGCGCACGTGATCAACAGTCATCAACCTTTCAGGTCACTTTTGAGCCCGTTTTGATCTTCTCCAAGGACGGCCTTGTCCTTCCTGCGCGTCGCATGTCTCAAGATGGAGTCGATCGTAAACACTGCGGTCTCTCGGAACAGACTCGCATCCTTGCGCTTCCCGCAAGGCTGGAAGCTCCAGCCAATCGGAAGAGAGGGGTGGATGCTGAAAAGGAATGACCTTGATTATGCAGTGTTAAACTATGAACAGGAACTCCATAATTACTGGATATACTGTAACCCTGTGAGTATGGCTAGCTTTATATATATATAGAGCAATCTCTCTCTATAATATATATATATACCCATATCTTGAATGATCACACCTCAAACATCCTCAAACGTTTCAAGCGGGAACCTGCTGAGTAGGGACTTTACATCTGTACAGACTGGACAGTCTATGTCAAAGGATGAGAGACTTTTCCATTCTTGTCTCAGAGCGATGCTATCCCACTTGCACACTCCGCGGAATTTGTCCAACGATTCATGGAAATACCGCACATCTTGAGGGCTCCTTGGAGACCAAGCAAAGTCGACGTACAACATGTATGATTCCTGGCGTCAAAAGTGCATGGAAGGGTGGCTACGGTTTCCGCCCGCAGGTTGCTGTGGAGGCTGAGAGTTGTCCCTAAAAATTGGTCGACTGAAGATACAGCGGTCCAAGTTGGGCACCTGTCTCCGTTCTCATGGAGGTGGCAATCCGCGCTGCACGATTGATGTTGGCAGACAGGATGTCCTGGCACCCATGGATTCTGCTGCCAAGAGATTTTCATGTGTATATCTATTTATATGTATAATATATGTACATCATAATGTACATATACAATCATATACACACACTCATGATATACTATATGTACCTGTGAGTATATCATATATTCAGATATGACTGAGAGATGACTCTTGTTTGATACACGTAAAGAATATTGAAGGGGGCAAAAATGCTTCTGGTGCTGAACTCAGTTTCCAACGCTGTCACGCTGTCACCTTTTCAGATAACATGTAAACAATCCCTACCTCCTTTGTGGAGTGCCCCCCTACATCGTTCTGCACCTAAAGATGGATCCTGAGCAACGCCTTGCTTGCCGCTGACCACTATGTTCAAAAGTTATACATATGTATATATATATATATGCGATTGCATACATATGTATATATATATAATTGTTATTCATATATATATATGATATGATGTGATATGATATGATGTGATATGATATGAATTGATATGAATTGATATGAATTGATATGAATTGATATGAATTGATATGATATTGTATTGTAGTGTTTGTTACTTGTATTCTATTGTATTGTGTTGCATCATATTAAATGTATTACATACATCATAGTATATATATATTATATTTATATTATAACATATTATATATAATATAATTGTATTATATTATATTATGTTAAATTATGTTATAGTATATCATATTATATTTTATTATTATATCTTATTATTTCATTTTATATTGTATTGTATTATATTATATCATATTATATATTGTGATGTGTTTTTTTTGTACATATTATATATGATAGTAATAAATATATAGTGTATAAAATATAATACACATATTCTATACATAATATGATATAATATGATACAAGGGTCGTATCGGTGTGAATCATTACACCCTGGTAACGCATCAGAAGCCCGTCCTGGATTATTTGGGAATGTACTTTAGAATATGTTTGGCAGCGCTTGCTGTAGATAGGTCTATTCCCCTAAAACGAATTCTAACGAGTCCGATTTTGGCTTCCAGAATCTTCAAGTCTTCGGGCCAACAGGTCTTGGATCCTGACAAACCCCATGTGACTTCACCGGGATCTCCTTGTCAGCCGTCTGCGCTCCTTTTAACGCGTTGTCAAAGCTCTGGAATTCCTTGAACTCCTCAACGCTTCCAAGCTTCCAAGGGCGGGAAAAACGGGAAAAAAAGGTTTGGGTGGGGGGTACCCCATTTTGGAGAAACCCAAATGTCGACAAAGACCTGGCCATACCTGGCCCTCCAAGTTCAATTCCTGCGCCCAGATCTCAGGGTTACAGCCAGCTGTAGCATCGGAACAGATCAACAGACTTTGGAGGCCACACGCTCCTCCTTGTTGCTTGGGAAAGGCAAGTCATCACGCCTCATGGACATCGCTCCCTTCCCCAAAGAATTGGGATCAAATGTGTTTCAGTGTTTCCACATACAATTTGGGTGAACTATGGGCGTGATCAGGGGTGTCTCTCAATGTCTTAATACAGTTCTCTCGTGATAGCACGCATGAACATCTGAATCGCTTCACATTGGAATCCACTTGTCCCTAAAATTCCCAAAGCCTTAGCGTGGTTTTATATGGTTTTATCACATTCCCCATCCCCATTTCCATCATCACATCTCCATCCCAGCCAGTTTCTGTACCTCCAATCCTCGTCGAAAGCAGAGCTTTTCGACGCCATGGTTTTTGCGGTTCTCCTGGTGAAACATGGGGAGATCTTTGGAGACTGCAATGGGAAACTCCCCAAGGGAAAAGCAGAACAAAATGACTGGATGGTTGGATGGATAGATAGATCAAAGGATGGATGGATGATTTTGGGATATTTTGGGGGCACGAATGGCATAACATGGCATGACCATGTCAACATAGTTCAAGCGGCTCGAAGCTAAGAATCGGGCAGGTCTCACCCGTCACCCAAGGTCACGCTGGTCATGGCAGGCTGTGAGTTGGGTATCGGTAGATCGCTACTCTGTTGAGACATGTTGAGACTGTTGACATCTGGTAACCGAACTTTCCAACTGCATTGGAAAAATCAATCCAGTAAGGCAACAATCATGAGCTGAGACAACCAAACTTTGGATGATCTGCGGATACTAAGCTACTAAGCCTGAAGTCCTAGGGTATCTGGGGCTGATTGTACTTGAGCCGGCCCTTTTCAGCAAAATGCCTTTGAGCCGAAAGCTGAAAACCAGGCCGATTGCAGCTAGAGGTTCTCCATTCCAGCCATTCTAGCCCGCAATCAAAGAACCAGTTGAACCAGGCCACAAAAACCCACGTCACTTCTTGCTCTCACAGCTTGTCTCAACCAGGATATTCTCCTGCGATCTCGACGACCCCATTTTCTCTCACGAGAAATCACCGCTGAGACGAGCCCGGGCTCAGACGTGAGTCTCATGTGAGGCCACGAGGTACAACCAGTCCTGACAATTCGTGGATCATCCACCGTCCTGGCGAAGTATATATAGTAAGTGAGTTATAGATTATGATATGTTATTGCAAGCATACATATGTGTATATATATAATTATATTATATATATATAATACACATATGTATTCATACATGTCACCAAAACTGAGCATCTGGTTGTGTTGACCGTGGGGCAAACAGCCTACTCCTTGATGGTACCATCCACCCCATGGTGTGACTACAAAATACTCCAAACTGGGGTGGATGAACATTGCAACATATTGCAACACATTCGTGATCAATTGCACATCCCCACCAGACATGCACATAGTGCTGTAAAACCCAAAAAGGCCCGGATTTCTTGAAAGCAGGGAAATGTTGTGGCTTTGGTGGAAGAACGGAATGAGTCATATCTATATCATAATATCATTGATCAAGTAGGATCGGAACAGACATATTACAGTATTACATCCAACAGTCAACTGATGTGGCGTATCAGTAAGGACCCACAGGTCTAGACCCCCAGTTTCTGAGTGCAACCTCGTCCCAAACAACACATAGATAGGTCATACCCACAGAAACCACAAATCTCATCACCCATCACCTGTCCTGAAACTGTCGCTTCTTTCTGCATTCCAACGAAGCGCTTTGGCATTCTAACATGGTCTCACCTGATTGCACCAAGATCTCAACAGCACGAAGCACCCAAAGTAAGAACAAGCACAAGAAATATCAGGAATCAGTTTGACTGGCTGCTTCTCTGCAACAATATACAGGATTTGCAGCTGTCAAAGAAAAATATGTATCTGTATTATATATATGTTAATATCTAAATATATTCTTATTATTAATATACGTTGCCGAAATCATTCAAATGTTTTCAAGTGGAACTATGTCTTTTTGCTGCCACAAAAGGTTTTGATGAATGCCTTGAACCGTAGATAGACTTTCAAGAACAGAAGGGAAAAAAGGAAGGGCTGGACTCTTTATTTATTGTGAGAATATGTGTAACCAACATATCATATCATTGGGATTTCATGGAGACCGATCAAATCTATGGACTGGGCCAACCCTTGAAAATATCAGAGCTTGCCCTGTAACACCCCTGTATAGCTCTTCCACTCACCCTTTGTACACCCGGCAAGGTGCACTTACAAGCACTGAGCACTGTGGGTTCAACAACAAATATCACGGCTTGGCAGATTGTTTTGCACTCACCCGAGGAAAAATATGAATGTCATCGGGGATCGTTATATATTCAAGAAACGCGGAGGACATCCGACATAGTCGGATAACAAATAATCAGAATGCAGGTTGCCTGGAGTCGCAGGATGCAAACATCCAAATCGGTGGAACCATTTCAGGCATTGCACACAGGTCACGTTGGTGGCCTGCGGTAGCACATCTCTGCGCCGAGGCAACGTACTTCGAAGGGGAAGTCCTCGAACTCACCACGGCAGCAAGGGGGAAGTGATGTGCCCAACAGGTTGATGGCAGGGCGCAGTTCCACCCTGAATGCCTAATTGTTGAATATTGTTCACTGAGAAATTCCTAGGTTCTTGGTTGTTGGATGATTAGCGAGCCCAAACAAGTGAAGGGTACTCTATTGATGACCATGTCTGTTAGGACCAGTTGGGAAACAAAGGGTGATGAATCTAAGGATAATAGTTCAATCAAATCTACTTTCAATTCATGTTCCTTTGTTGGGCTATGTTGGGCTCATGGGTGAAGGATCTGTGAGGATCTTCGCTCAGTAGACTTTGTTAATATTGGATCACGTCTTTCTGTCTTTCATTATTTCCCTTGCTATTCCTTCTTCTGTTCCCTTTGTTTGCATTGTTTCCTTTCATCCTGTCTTTCTTCCGTGCTTTATTTGTTCTTCTTTGTTATTTCCTTCTTGTGCTTCCCTTGGGTCCTTTAATTTTCTTCGTCTTGTCCTTTGTTATTTCGTTCTTTCTGCTTGTCTATCGTTATCGTCAAGGGGAACCTTGGCATTCCAAGGATTCAAGATGAGCGGTGCTAAGTAAGATATAACAGCTGTAGTAAAGGAATAGTGGATTTAAAAGTCAAGAATAGACGCCTTGTCACAATAGAGCATCACCCAAACAAATCTGTCTATTCGTCTGTACGTGGGTGATTCACGGATAGCCCTTTGAAAAATTGTATGGGTGTAAGTTTTTATCTTGGCTGAAGCAATGAAATTGATTCTTTGGGAAACATTGGCATCTTTGTAAAATAGTGCTTGGTAAGATACAAAAAAGCGGAGTAAAGGAGCGGTGCCTTTTAGGATTCGCAAAAAAAAAAACAAAAAAACAAGGTCCTTCTGGAAGAAATAAATTGGTCCATCGAAAAACTTGCACAATAGAGCACCACCACCAATCATTGGGATCCTGAATTATTTTGAACAAGAATTGCACACATCACGAGCATCAGAATAGAACAGTACATCACTACATCACGAACCTATCCCAACCAGCTGCCATGGTCGTGTCCGCCCACCTCTTGGTGAAACCCAAGCGGCTGCACCATTCGTAAGGATTTCACAGGGCAACAGCGTAGCACAACGATGTCTTGATCCTTCCATGCAGTCAGGCGGAAAATGACGGAAGCCCCAAAAAAAACACACGAAATGGGAACTCTTGGGAATCCAAGTTCAATTTCAGTAGCAGAATTGAAACATATCAAAAAATAATTCAAAACAAACAGCAAACAAAACACCAACATCTCACGCTCTATCAACTGATGATTAATGAGCTTCGCTGGGCCTTTTAGCTTGGACGCGATGGGCCCCAAAGCAGCCAATCATCTCGGCTTCTCGGGGCTGTTGCGGTCTGCATACCTCTCCAGCGGGCTCCACCCTATTGTGGGGCAGGCGAAAAGAGTCTGAGCCTGAATCTGGGAAAATCAAAAAATATTCACCTGAACATCCAAACAAATATAATCATATTATAGTAGCTATTTAATGCTATTTATCTATTTGAGGATGATTCCCCTTACTAACCATGATTCCAGTGAGGTCACGACGTGAAGTTATAATTTACCCAGATATACTCATATGGTCCACTGTGGTCCCATATGATTCTGGTTGAGCAGCCATGGGTTTCATTATGGGTTTCGACCAATTTGTCGCTCCTTACCTGGCAGGACCGCTGTTCTGAGCATGGCCACCTGATGCGCACCACACGACGTCCACCAAAAAAAAGATCTGCTTGTCTTACAGAATCCCAGAATTTCACGCGGCAATAGCAAATAATGATAAATGATAACCTGATCACCAATGTGAGTCCATTTATTTGTGATTATCCACGATTATCCCGTATTTCCCCAGGTAAAGCTTGAGATTTTCCATGTGAAAGCATCACCTTGTCCTGCAGCTCCATTGAAATCAGGTCAAGTGCAGAAACCACCTGCAACATCTAGGTCCCGCAGAAAATGAGATATACCATGAGAATGCTGATGGGATAATGGGATATAAATGATATAATATATATATATATGTATAATAGGGTGTATATATATATTATATATATATAAATATATATATATATATCATATATATATATATCATATATATATATATACATATATGTATGAGATATAAATATCATTAAATATCATATATAATCATATATATATATACATATTATATATATATAAATCATATTACAATTAAACAGAACTGGATATAAGTTGGGGCATGGCTGGATATTACATGATGTTGTGGCATTTCAAAATAAAACTGGTAAAAGGGTAGAACTGTATAACCCAATAACGGCTGTCAAATGATGGGAACAAATGCATGTCTAAACCACGGGATTTGGGGTGTTGCCATGATTTTCAGACACACCTAGCAACGTCTGACCCCAAAGCCACTGGAATCATTGCTGCAAGGTGGGATGCAAAAAAAAACCTCTGGGCTTCTGGGCTTCTGGAGACGGATTGGAGATGTTGGAGGTCCAATGGTCATATGGAATCCACTGCACTCTGGAAAGACTTGGTGTGCTTTTTCATTTTTTTCTGTGAGACGAGTAACATGCGAGTTCAGATTCGATGCATCTGCATTTGTGAACAATGTCCAACGACTCTCTTCTGAAGCTGAGGCATGTGATTTCCTGAATTGCCCCTAGCTATTCTGGATTCTCTAATATTGAGCGACAGCTGGCGCATGTAAGTCCATGTGAATAACAACAGCAACTTTTCACATGAGCTCTCGTCAAAATCCTTTACATCTCGGTATTTGCTATTGTAATTATACCGGTTATCGCTTTTTTTGGGGAGGCATATCGCTTTCCAGTCTTTTGCGCCATTATCGCTTTTGGAGGGGGCCCTATCGCTTTAGAGTGTTTCGTGCACATCTCTGACAAAAGTGCTTCTGCAATACTACAGGGGTCTTCAACCATTTTGACCGTAACTCACATATTTTTAATGTACATCAAAACATGATCATAATAACAATCAGAATAGTGATGCTGGATGATAGCAGTATGGCAATAATAAACATCATCATCAGCATCAGCGCAATCATAATCCGCATGGAATTGATCGTCAATCATCCCATTCCTTATCCCCTTGCTATGATGATCTGACATTTTGGGACATGGATGTGGAAAAACCGTGAACATGAGAGGAGTTTGAAGGATATATGTTAAACATGGGAAAACCATGAACATATGAATGAACATGTCATGATTTATGGAATTTAATGAATATATATATATATGGAATTATATGGATATGGAATATGACATTAAGAACCTGTTGTCCGCCCTTAAAAAAATCGGCACCTCAGAAGGGCAATTCTGCAAGCTGAGTGCGACCAGAGGAGCATAGCGCAGCGTCCTGTGAGTCCCCAAAGTTGTGGTGGATCCCATAGAATGCTGGATTTTTCCTCAAAGTGGTAAATAACCTCGGCATATCTTTAAAACAACGATTAAAATACGTATCAAAGAATATATGAAAAAACTCCGATATTTGGATGATGCTTGGACCATTTGAAGCGTCTTGTCTGAAAAGGATTCATGATAATTCTGTATAGGTTTCTGGTCTGTAAATATGTTCGTGCAGAGACCCATCTAATTCCTGTCAATCCTCAAAAATCATTGCAAGATCAAAAACTGGTTCATGATTGTCATCATCCATCCTCAACCTTTGCAAGGGACATTATGCTGTGCATCTGGGTTGGTGCTTGCAGTCCTCTGACGCCTCTCTTGTCGTTCCGCCAAGGGCATATCCAAGAGGCCTTGCAAGATCGCACCGGCCTGCTCCTCTGAGGCCATTGATGCCACCTGGGTCAGGTCATTTAGTCAGGAAGCTATCTTGGGTTGAGAAACAGGGGATCTTGCATGGCTTGAATTCTTCTGTTGCATGGTTTCTAGAGTGGTTTTCTCTCCCAAGTTTCAACATCTTGAATCTCTATATATCAACTGTATCAACTGTATCAACTTGACATCATCACGATATTTCACGATTCCAGCATCCCTCTCTCCATTTTCAAGTGCCATCCACTGGAGGACCTACATGTCATCAGTCCCTCCCAATGTAAGTACACCGATTAGTGTCCTGGTACCCTGTTTTGTTTTTTTTTCCAAAATAATTCAGGCTCCTGAAATTGAGGGGGTGGGCCTCTATTTGTGAAAAAAAACTCACCCATTTTTTTCAGGAGGAAAAACAGGTCCAAGAAAAAACATCATTCTTATAGGTCCAGTCCCTTCTTGGGGTAGTTTGTTTCCTCTTATTATAGCTGCTGTATCTTGTTCACCCCAATCATCTTGAATCTTCAACATGTCAATTTCCCCAAATGATGACTGGCAATTCCTTATTAAACCCTCATGAAAAAAACAGCACCCAAAACAATTTTTCAAGGGGGTGCCCCATGAGTGACTCAGATCCTCAATCAATCAATGTGTATATATATATTATATGATTGTATATGTATCATTGTTTGTATGGTACTCTATTGTGCTCAGAAATCTCTGGGGGGGAAAAAACACAACTGTTTATCCACCTTTCTTTGGGTAAAGCTGTTCCATTTACTTTAGAAAGCTAATATCCATGTTGAATCCTTAGAATGCAAGGTTCCCCAAATGATTAAATTCTTTATTAAACCCTTATTGAAAAACAGCACCCAAAACATTTTTTCAAGGGGGTACTCCGTGAGTGACTCAGATCAATAATATAATTGTTTGGATGGTACTCTATTGTGCTCAGAATTTTAGAGGATGAGAAAAACATGTTGGGTTCAAAAGGAAAAGATTTTTGAACACGATTTGATATGAATTGAAATCCTTACTTCTCCTTAGATTTCTTTAAGGGGAAAAAAGCAAAGAATTAAGAGTAGAATGATATAAATTGAAATCATCACTTCTACAGTATATCCATTCATTTCTGTAAAGGTTTAAAAAAGGAAAGAAATTAAAAGTATATAGATTGATTTCAATTGGAACCCTTACGTATTCAAAATATTTCCTTTAGGTTCTGAAGGAAAATGAATTGAACACAATTTGATATGAATTGAAATCCTTACTTATCCTTAGATTTCTTTAAGGGGAAAAAAGAGCAAAGAATTGAAAGTACTGTAGATTGATATGAATTGAAATCATCACTTATATATCCTTTGATCTCTGTAAGGTTTAAAAAGAAAAGCAATTGAAAGTAGATTGATTTCAATTGGAAACCTTACGTATCAAAAGATTTCCTTAGGTTCTAGAGGAAAAGGAATTGAAAGTAGAGGAAAATGAATTGAAATCCTTACTTATCCTTAGATTGCATTATGTTATAAAAGAAAATCAATTGAAAGTAGATTCAAAGGAATTGAAATCCTTACTAATCCTGATTTGTTTTTAGATATAGAAGGAAAATCCATTGAAAGTAAATTGGCATTAGTTGAAATCGTTACTTAAGTTGATCATCCTGAGTTCCCCTGACCTGTTCCCAAGAACATTTTGAATAGAGTATACCTAAATTGTTTGGGGGGCCCTACACTCATCAGCATCCAACAGTATGACCCAGGCCACTGAGGCCCTCAGGATCAGGCCACTGCGAAGTCGTGCCAAGGCATTCGACTCACAAAGGGCAGGACCTTCGATGCTAGGGTTCCCACATGTTCCCATTGATTAAGATCTGCCGTGGAACTATAGGCCCATCTTCAACAGGTATGCAGATGGATGCAATTTGTATTCCTCTTTCTCGCGACGTAAATGTGTTGGTAACGATGTTGCAAGCCGCTTGTTCCCCCTGTGACAGGTGCAAACGGAGACAGGTACAACACCTCTACCATCGTCTGAGGATCTGACTGGGTATGAATCCGGATGAAAGAGCAGAACTGGTATGCACCTCGTAGGAGTTGAAATTTCAACAGAACTCCTGGCATTCCTAGCAGTGGGTATATCTGAAGATCGGGTACCCACAAATTTGATTGGTGATCATCATTTCCCCACTAAAATCACGAGCAAACAGTTCTGGGGATCAGGCCCAAGCATCATTGCGTCAAACAAACGTCCTGCTGTATTGCCTACCGGAGACAGGCAAAAATATGGTGCAAATGAAGTCCGTCAGAGCTGCGACTCAATATGTATTCGTGCAGAATTTGGAGATACATGGAAATAGATGGAATAGTATGAAATATGCAAATACCTCAACCATCCTCAACAATTGGTCTCCCTTTAAGTACTGGAAATTCAGCTTCTGACAGTGTCAGGTCCATCTTTTCCTGCTTCGCATTGTCCAAATCGGGTGCACTGGAGAAGATTCTGTGTCGCTGTGACAGTGACAAGCTGAAAATACCTGAAATGTGATCACTCAAACTACCGATTGCTTCTTGGGTTTTTGCCTTTGGGCATGAAACCAATGTCAAGGAAATCCCATAGCAAAATCAATCTTCAGCGGGAAGAGCATCTAGAGATGGGTCAGAATGTATCCAAACAAAACAGAGTATTTAAAATGATTTGAAGATATTAGAACATTATAGAACATTTATTTAAATTGAAACCATCCTGTCATGGGTAGATTGACCCATATTTAATCCATCAGGATTTCCAGTAATGGACTCTTGTTATCATGGAGCACTTGGTCTATACTGTCAGCTTGTTGCAGTGACTGGGAACCATTGGGAACCAGGGATTTAGGGCAGCGATTGCGGTTCGTCAGCAAAGTCTGAGAGACAACCATTGGGACCCGCCATCCAAAACCTGAACCTCTAAAGATATTATCAAATTTGATCAAAATAGGTCAATACATCAGAGCACACAATTATATACAATTATTCAGTATCCGTTGAATTTGGGCGATTTCAAAAACATCAAAAACCAAACAAGTGTGAAAAAAGGAAGTCTGGATTGGTTCAAATCTGAATGAATCCGTTGCAACCCATCCTTGAAGGAAAAGCACAGTTGCAGTGGACAGTGACACTGGTCCATGAATCATGCTGGTCATATTGCTGACTTTCATAGTAAAACAGTCATAAACAGTCTGGTAGTTTTGTTGAGTTTTATAGTTTAACTCAGTTTGCTAACGACCCTGCCGCTGTATTGAATTTGCACGTAGCATATGTCCCAGTCTGTGTTGGCAACCATCTACCTTCGGCAAGCTGATTGCGCCATGCCATGAACGGCTAACCAAAGTACCCGGTCGGGCACCGCCGCCCAAACGCTTGTCAAAAGAGGTGTTTGTAACCCTTCCACTGATGCGAGGTGCAATCACCAGTGATCAGTGGCTCCTTCTGGCTGACGGCTGTTGGGGTATCTTGAAACTCCTACCTGCTAAACATTTGTATAATCCTGACCTCGCTATGCAGCTGCATCCTCTGTAGCTCCACTGCTCCGATTTTACTACAGTGAGTAACGCCCTGCCCTGAAGCAAATTGGTGGGCTCCCCAAACAATCCTGACGGTGTACACAGGTGGTCGCTAGTTCAAAGGATACACACTATGCCTGCTGTTCGCCACAAACCCAGAAACATTTGGATGTGTTTGGCACTGGGTGCTACTCTAAAATGGGGAGACCAGCAAACTTCGCTCAATACAGGATGCTCCGGGAATAAGTTCCATTCAGTCCCGCGCTGCGTATTCCTCAGAGTCCAACTCTTCATGACAGCTAGAATCCCAAGCACCCCAAGACAGTCAGACCATTGAACTTCGGGACTGACTGATCCAGGTGGAATAAGCGGGACAGCAAACTAAACCTGCCGGTGGCCTCAGAAGAAAAGCACCATTGCCAAGATGTTGTCTCTGGAACCGCGATCCTGCGTATGTTGGCGGGAGCGGTCCCAGTGTGCTTCCAAGATCTTCCAACATATCCAGTCCTTGGCGCTTTGGACTAAGATCTTCGCGGTATTCTCGCGTAAGAAGTCGGCCACTGCCTTGGCACCACTGAGGGAATCGTCCCAACTACTGAATGGAGCTTAGAAATATTGGAAATCTGAATGTGAGGATAGGTCCCCCATTTTGAAGGTGAACTTAATCACCAAGTCATGTCTCATCTGTCTGATCTGATCATTGAAAATAAATGAACATCCCTCACAGAAATGGTTTAAGAGACACTTTGCAGGACACCCAAATATGTATATATATATATATATAATAATGTATGAATGTATATATATATATATATGTGTATACATATATATATATATTATTATATTATATTATATTATTTATATTATATTATATTATATGATATGATATGATATTATATTATATTAAATATACGTATATTTGATGGTATAAACATGTACAAATCATGGTTTCAGTTTCCCCAAGTTTCTCCCTTAAAGCAGACCATTTTTGACCTGCTCCTTTATTCCGACATCCCCAAAGAGATTCCTGTCACTGCGTGCCCTTTTTCGCGCCATTCACGTCGGTTGTAGCCAACTGTCAGCATGATGTGCCTCGCTCAGGCAGCGTGAGTCTTTGAATTCTTGTTGGGTCCTCAATCTATGTAGAAAATGGTGGAAATAGCTGCAAAAAATGGGAGATTCTTTTTGGGTGTCTGTGATAATTTAGAGCCTCAATCATAGGCTGCTTGTTACTGAACAATCCGCATCAATCCGCAATGCTTGCTGTCAAACTTGCCAATTGGACCATGCCATGGATCATCGCAATTGTGTGGTTTCCTCGCTGCAAAGTCCCAGACCATGTGACTTACAGCTGAGCGTCACCTCATCACAGGAAATTCTTGCTGCGTCGACGCACGCGCATCTGGCAACCTGCCCAAGTGCGAGTGTTTTTGATGGGGAAAGCACCGTCTTAGCTGAGAAAGGGAAGATACTAGCCGCTACTAGCCAATGAATCATCGGGTCGGCGCGGAGTTCAACTACACCTGCCCCCCTCAGATGGTAGTTTCTGACTGTGACAAATGACTACCCCAAACCTCTGCAAATGTAACCTGGGTTTGTCTGAAAATATGGTCCGCCTTGGGTCCTTTTCAATTAAACTGCCAATTGCGGGGCATCCCCAATTTCAACAAACCTATGTTATGTTTGAGGTTGAACAAAATCTTTCTTGACCCAGACCTGGTCATGGGTCAGACTTTGACAAACTATGGTAGACTCATTGCCTGTGGCTGAAAACGGCAGCCATGGCAGGATAGATGTCTTTGGCACCAGCAGCAAAGGATACGCAATCCCCTGGAACCTGCCAGCAGCAGAACTGCAAACTGATGTTATAAGATGGTATAAGTCGTGCACACATTCCAGTGTTGTCCAAGAAGTCTGCTTCTGAAATGAACTGGAATACATTGAAGCTTAAAATACACTGAGGATCATTTGTACACGGACCATTTCTCTGAACTTCAAATCCTTGCCTTCTATCAGATTCTACCAGCATGCTCAAACTGGTGTTGGACAAGGCACTGCGAATAGTGCTTCAAATGATCCAGTAATTTTGACCTCAGCAACTTCGGTGCCAAGTTGATGGGTTGATGCTGTTGCTGTTGCTGCTAGTAACTAATGATCATGAGATAAATGTGCTCTAGTTACGCCTGCAGAACAAACTCTGCTGGTCCACATGCCTCAACCACATCTTGTGTTGATGCAGAGGGTTTCTGAACCCGTACCATCGCGGATGCTGGATGTCAGAAGTACGCAACGAAGTTTTGATTGGAGGCACAACTATGTGTATGAATTTCCCTGGGATCACGTTGCACACCAGAGTCTCATAGACTGGATACGTTCGAACCAGTGTGGGAATATTCTGAGTGTAACGGAGGGAGGGACACTACATGAATCTATACTGTACTTCGTGATTTTTAGAGGAAGCAGGCAGATGTCTGGACTCTTTATGCAAGCGCTTTAGGCATACATCATCAATTCATACGCAGTCTAAGTATGTCTAAGTTCCAAAGAAGAGCACAACCAGGGTGGCTACAAGTTTTTGTTCAATGGGTACATTGAGCATACAAGGCGTTGGACATCATTGGACCATGTATCTGAGATCTCCATAGATCTCCATGTTGATTTCCCGGACTGCTGTCAAGTCTCAGATGTTCAGATCCTTCTGTCTCGATGCGCTTGTTTAGGTCCTCCATGTTCCTGACTGCATAACATGACATGATGTGACAAATGCATACAAATGCAAACAAGCCAAACTCGCTTGAAACACCTTACAACATCTTGTGACATCACACAACATCTCTGTATACATGTATTGATTGCATATGTATAGCATTGTATAGCCTTCCAGTCCCTATCCACTGCAAAACCCAACCAGTTCCGGAATGCATCTTTCCTTTCTTTCTGTGCGCCGAAACATGCTTCAAACATGTAACCGTATCTGTGCACGACTCATGCCCTTTGGAGCAGCGTTGTCTGTGTTGGTATTCTTGAGCTTCCTACAGTACTAACCAGCCCGAGCATCACAAAGTCTCTGAATGGGAACACCAACTGGGGACAGAGCTGTGAAATTGCGCCGCAGCACACCTTCCAACCATAACAGAAATTCCTCGGAAATTCCGTCGCCAAGAAGTGCCAAGAGTCTCAGTGACTAAGTCGCGAAAGTCTTCTACGGCACCTTGCCCTTTGTAGGCGCTAAAGACCGTTCGGACATCATCCTCGAACTGCTTTTTCAGCATTGGCCTCATCATCAAGATCTGCTTACATTTCAGCATTCCACGGTCCAAGTATTTCAGATTCAGCATGCTAACTGCAAACTGAGATGCGAATCGAGTTGATACAGCCTTTTGTTATAACGAACACATTGGAAATCAATGCATCCATTCAGAAGTTCATGTGCAGCATCAAGATGAAGGCTCAACAGCAGGTGAAGGAAATTCTGGAAGTGGTTTCATATAGTGTCCCTTGTAGCATGAAGCCTGCAAAATACTATCAAAACCATCATGTCCGGACAATTTATTGCCAGCCTTTTGAAGATCTCCTCTCGCAAATGAGGATGCATGCGTTGCAGTAGTGCCTGCCACGTTTCGTTTGTCACTGGTCACTGGAGCATACTGGAGCTGTTTTCTCTAAGTTTCAACTCCCCAAGCCTCCGGTTTCAGATCTGCGTGTGGATCAAACCAGTTCCAAAGGAAACTCCTCAGGGCGCGAAGGGTTGACAATGGAGCCACTTGGGGAAAGAAGCTGCTACAGTTTGCTATAGTTTGCACCACTTTTCACCATCTGGTTGGGATTGCCAAGATCAAAACCTATACTTCTTATTTGAAAGTATTGGAGAGTCACAAAATTGCACTCCGGATCTGCCTACCATCTGTCTCACAGTCATCGTAAAGTCCTACGTAGATGCGGCCAAGTCTCGAATGCTGGCCTCGAAGATTGAAAAAAGTTGCGGAGTGAAACAGGCAGTCAAGTGATGGATGTGGATTGACATGGATGGTGCCTTCCAGAGCATTCCACTCCTGAACTTCTGCAAAAGAACTAAGATACTGATGGATAATCGGATACAATCGGATACTATCGGATACATGGTTTGGGGACCTTTGGACCTCCTCAAACTGCCCAAAGTGCTTGGAGAGTTCATAAATTGCAGGACCACCCATCGTTGAGTTCCTTGAAATGGTCACCATTGATGGTGAAGGTAAGGCACTTCGTGCTGCAAAGGTGCTCAAGTGTCCAGCTTCGTGTAGCAAACGCATGGCTGGATGTTTAGCTGAAACGCATGGCTTAGTCTCAGGTGGTTGCTATCTTGAAACCAGCTTCAGTTGGAGCTTCAGTCTGCCAATTCCACGTGTCCATGTCCAGCACCTTCTGCATCTGATAATGATATATTGGATCTATCGCTATTGTTGGCAAGGTTATGGTGCTTCTTGTTTGTCCCCCATCACTATTGTTTGCATGTACGGTTTTCACGTGTTTTCACTATTCTTCTTTATATTCCCATATATTCCCACTGTGCATGTATACCACCATTGTTGATAAGATTGAACAATGTCAGTATTGCCTTTTGTTCAACAATGTTCAACATATTTCATTTTCTTGGATACTTTTGGCAAGCAGCTGATGTAGGATACACCCATCAACAGCTTGGCATCTGGCACTCCCACACCAGATCCTGGTCCCAATGTTCTGCTTGTTGAGGCTTCATTTACAAAGCATTCTTTGCAGTGGCCCTTGGTGGTCAATAGGGCAGAAAACTGAACAAAAAACAGCATGCCAATGTGACCCTGTGTCTCGGTAGGAGGCCGACGAGGACGGCGGATGGTAGCGGGGCGTTGCGAGAGGGTTGCTACTTTAGAGAGAGATGGAGACCATGTCCCTGGATGCAACTCGTCAACTCACGGTGCTACCTCCTGGCAGCTTTGGTTTAAGAGGAAAACCTGGGACCTGAACTAAGCTGTCCAGAAAATGCAGTGTTTTTACCAACAACAGAACATATCAGTTAGGTCATGGGCTTAATATGTCCAAAGCCTTGAACCAGCCGAACCGCAGCATGTTCAAAGTATCTCTGCTGGGGTCCCACACTTGGCCGCTCTGCTGCGCTTGTTTGACACAGCTCAAAAGGGCCTGCCCGAGTGAGGGCAAGATGGGGTAAGTTGCACGTGTCTGGATGTCCCTCTAAACGATGCAAAGTCAATTTGGGATGTGGGACTGTAGGGATGTATCAACCGCCATAGGATGTACAGATACAGGTAAATATATAATTACATGCAAATTGTTTTTTCGAGAATCGAATGACTTGACTTAATCCAAAACTAAACCTGGGCGAATATTGATTGACACCAATGCCTTGAGTCACCCCAGCACCCAGGAAAACTCACCACCAGGATTATCGCATGTTGTCAATGCGAACAGTGCGAACTCCGGGAAAACCATACATCCATTGACATACTATGACTCAGTGGAGGGATAGCCCAAGTGCATATTCAATCAGAATCATATGTTGCAGTTTTGGGGCAAAAATTAAGCACCTCAAACCACATAAATTGATCGACACAGGGTTCAAAATTTTCATGCTCCGATATTCCCCAAAAAGTGGTCTCAGAACTGTTGCAGGCCACATAAGTATTGGCCCATCTCCATAGTATGTGTTTGTCCCAAACTGGTTACTAGCAACTAGTAACTCAGCATCCGATTTTCCAATGATTCTTAGATATTCCAATTTTCCCACTAGTAAAGGTGCCACAAAATATAAAAAATAAGGGAACAAATGTAGAACTACTGCGCTTCTCCAGCCCTGGCAGCTCCTCTCCAGCATCATCATCGCTGAAGGCATCCCATAGTCCATCACTGGCAACGATTAAGGCGTGGCCATCCTGGGAAAACGCTAGGAAATGGACCAGGGCTCCCAGGCCTCCCAGGACTCTCATGACTCAGGATCAAATCATCCCACTTTCAACAACAAAAGCCGGCAGCAAGGGATGATGTATCATGACGATCATGATGATATCTCTGTGGGTATTTCGTTGCTACATTCAAAAAACAATGGGTTCCCGGATCGTTCCCCTCACCAACCATCATTCTAGATATTTCTGCCGCCCTGTTCACGGCTGGTTTTGGCAAATCATGTCCAAGATTGCCGTTGATTTTTTTGGTTCGGCGTCTCTGGTGCTCACTGGCGTTTGCTGGAAAAAATCACTTTGTGATAAAAAACCAAAAGATTGCTGTGAGACAGTGGTTGCTGAAACTATCGCACTCGCGAGCCCCCCAGCTGCTTCTTGGTCTTCGCTTCCAAGATTTTTTTTGTTGCGCGGGTGTTTTTGCCACCAAGCAAGGCTTCGCGCGGCAATGAAGCAATAAGGCACAAGGCAAAGCAGAGGCCGTCAGGGCGGCACTGTGATTTACCCTTGCGTTTAGGTTGCTGCAGCGGCCACATCCAAGTCGCTCCAATTTTCGGAGGGGTAGCTCATCCCAGGTAACAGCACGCCAGACACCAAGTCGTAGTGCTCTGGCTGCCAGAGGTCTCCTTGCCCTGGAATGTTACACGGGCAAAATGCAGGCGGCAAAAGTTCGGGAACCACTGGCGGTTCAGCTGCACGGATAGCTGGCTCAACAGCAGGTGCGGAGGTTGGCTCTTCAGCAGGGGCTGCGGAAGGCTGCGTCTGCATGCTGAAGCAAGACGACACGCCAACCACTTGCATTGAAACTGTGCTCGCCATGGCCTCCATCATGGTCCTTCTTCTCTGGCTCGGTGACACGGGCTTTTCCTTCTTGATTGTTTTTCTCCTGACAGGAGATTGCAGCTTCTCTTGCTTGACCGTTTGCACTTTCTCAGCTCTCTCGGCTTTCACTTTGCTAGCCATGCCAGGTCCATCAAGCAGTGATCTGTCAGGAGCACCAGTCCCCGATCCAGAATGACTGGCTGGAGATACTGCACCTCCTTCACATAAAGGTACTGCTCCTCTTTCAGGTAGTGCTTCTTCAGGTAGTGCCCCTTGATCGGGCTCATGCGAGTGATCATCAAGGATTCGAACAGCGGATGCCGGACCCGAGCATTGCAGTGGCACCCTTGCCCGTTCTCCCTGGTCAGGAGCGCTCGAGTCAGGGACGGTCTGGGACCTGAGCACCGGGGTCCTCCTCTGCGCCGCCTGCGCTACCTGAAGCCTTTCAATTTTTTGCTTCTCCAAGAGATCCAGTGTCTGGTCTGGACACCATGTATATTTTGATGAGTCTTTGATCTGTGCTTTTGCAGCGAGGCTCCAACTGCAGAGCAAGCGAGATAAGCTAAAAGTGCCCTGCAACGCCTTGTCGTGATACCTTAATTTTCAAAATCTAGGAGAGCTCTGCGGTATTTGCTGCACATTCTGCTCCGGGATACTCAGCCATCTCCGTCTTCGTCAGAGAGCCCTTCAAGAAGAAGCGCGTACTGTCGTCTCGAGCCACACTTCGTTTGAAGATTCCAAAGCGTAGATAAGCCAGAGACATGCTCTGCAACTGACGCGCGTCCTGGGCGGAGATCCAAAACCCGGCAAGGAGCTGAGTGTTCTTCTCGGCTGACGAACCACCCTCTGCGAATCTCGTTGTAGCTGGAGCTTTCCTGACCCATGCCTCTTCTTGCTGGGTTTCCTGCAAGACGGCATGGCCCATTCTTTCAGGAGAATTTCGGGTGCTAAACAAGAAATCTGCATAAATCTGCTGGGTATGAAGCCGCTATTGCAGCTCCTATTGATCCCCGCACACCTTCCCTTCGCAGCATGCCAGGCATGCTGGGCCGATTCTCTGACTTCATTCACCAGTCTTTCGATGCACCAGTTGGCCTGCTCATGCCGACGACGGCAACGGCCAGCAGTCTCGTCATCTCAAGAAGGAACTTCTTCTACACGTTTTTTTCCATCATCCGTCTCTGTCGTATTGGTCATGAAACTTGCGTCTCTTCTGCTGCACTTTGCCTGACATCATCAGCGATGTCCATTGGCGATGCTCCAAAGGAACGGTCGCATTCCAGATCGGAGATATATTGTTCTTTACCAGCGATACCCATCTTGAACCACACTGCAAAATGTCAGGAACCATTTCCAATATCTCTGTTAATTCTGACACACTTCAACAACAGATTATGATGATTGCAGATCTCAGACATGATTTGCCAAAGCTCAGAAAGGCGGAACAAATAACCTAATTACTCCTAATATGTATCTTCTGCTAAACGACAGAAGAACGGGCCTAGATCTTTCCAGACTCTCAGTCTCTGACTCTGGCGTTGAAGCTGCTCACGTCTGGAACACAGCTCACCCCAGAGTCCTGCAGACACGTCGTTGGTTGGTCACAAGTCATGCTTCACCAAACATCGAAAAAACGGTTTTAACACAAGACAAGTAGAACTCCCTCAAAATATCGTAAAATCCTAACAACATAAAACAATGGCTTGGGATGCGCACTACAAATGACACATATATTTTTAATATACATTGACAATTGCATATTCGATATTCCAACAATTAGTAATAATAATAATCTAATCTAATCTAATCTAATATAATATAATATAATGTAATGTATGTATGTATGTATGTATGAATGTATGTATGTATATATTAGTTTATATATATATATTAGTTTATATATATATATTAGTTTATATATATATTAGTTTATATATATATATATATTAGTGTCTACATATATATATATATTAGTATATATATATATATATATTAGTATATATATATTAGTATATATATATATTAGTATATATATATATATATTAGTATATATATATATTAGTATATATATTAGTATATATATATATTAGTGTATATATATATATATGTGTATATATATATGTATAATATATTTTTATAGTACACATCAACAGCAAAGCACGCCCTGGCCTTCAGGTGATGGTCACCCAGGGAGCGTGACACGCTCAGCTGCCCAGCCACTCGACCATGACGCACGAAGCCGCCCTCACGGCAGACGCGGGCAGCCTGGAGCAACAAGGTTGACACAGGAGTTTCAATCATCCCCCAACTTACTGGTGCTTAGTAGGGAATGGATGGGAATGTGGGAATGGCATGATTATTACTAGTGATTATGGATAATTCCCTCATTTCCTGCTAAGCAACAGTAAGAAGAAGAATGGAAGAATAATAATAAAGGTGGTTAAAAGAAAAATAAATGGATTTCCATCAAATGGAATGTGGTTAAAAGAATAATAAACCATCCCCCTGTTCAATCATAAATTCATAAATAGGTGGTATAAATCATTCCCAAATGGGTGGTTTATTATTAACCACATTAATCAAATCTAGGAAGACGCGAAAAACTATGAGATTCTGAATGTCAGTACCTCTTTGTTAAATTCAGTACCTTTTTTGTCTGTTTTATCCATTTCTGAAGGTTGGAAAGGGAAAATAATCTGCATGAAATCGTGCAAAGGGTTTTAGATGGTTCCAGGCTGTAGGCTTTATGATTCTCTGGATTTTGCTACAACACGCCTCCATGATGGCATCCTACATTGGTTTGGGATACATGACCCATGCCCGGCAATGCCTCGTCTGCATCATTGGCTCTGTGATCTATGGATACCTCGTCCAGTCCATGGGATGGGGATATGGGCCATGAGGCCTTGAAACATCAAAGCCAAAGGGTCCAAATGGAGTGGTGCTTCAGACGTTACTGGCTCTGGTGCAGTTTGTGCATAGCAACATTGGAAGTTCCGATAAAACCAATTTACAAAACATATATATATATAACCATCCTGAAGTAGATAGAATCTCTGGAATTTCAAAAAAAAAACGGTCTGAAAAAAACCTATAGATAGAATCCCAAAATGGCTCAAAAATCCGGGTCGATGATTGGTAAAAAAAAGGTCCCTCAAAAATGATCACAAAAGCGGTCATTTAGCTTGTGATTTGGTTGTTTGGGCCTTTGGAATGACCACCAAATGTTGTCATTATGCTGGTGTATTAGGTTCTGGCATGCGAATTTCAGCCCAAAATCTTCCAAAGAAATTGTCACTGTTGCTGGTGGTTCCCAGAAATATAGATCCTTTGGCAGTGGTATTCAATAGTCAAATCCAAGAAAGGAATGGGTGTGGGTCAAATTATCACACCCCAAAATTGATAGTTGATTTTTTAAGATGTGAAATTTTGAAATTGAGCTGGGGCCAAATTTGACCCGTACCCATTTAGCTACAGTGTGCTCACCGGACCTCCTGGAGATTTTGAATTTGGACATCGATCAAAATCGGATACTTTAAAAAGTAATCTGTATAGAATTGGGTGTAATTGGGACAGAAGGTTTTGATCCATCCCCATATTCTTCTATATTCCTTCATATTCTATCTATGGTATCAACCACTGTGCTGACCCCTCCCTACTGCATTCTGCTAACAACGGCAGGTTTCCAAAAACCATTCCATGTGTTGTAGATTCTTTGGCAATGGTATTTTTGGTTCCCGGGATGCACAAATAGTCAAACCCAATAAAGGAATGGGTGTGAGTCCAAATATCATCCCTACAAAATTGATAGTTGATTATTTAAGATGTGCAATTTTGTAATTGAGTTGGTGTGCTCACCGGACCTCCTGGAGATTTTGAATTTGGACATCGATCAAAACCAGCTACTTTAAAAAGTAATCTGTATAGAATTGGGTGTAATTGGGACAGAAGGTTTTGATCCATCCCCATATTCTTCTATATTCTTTCATATTCTATCTATGGTATCAACCACTGTGCTGACCCCTCCCTACTGCATTCTGCTAACAACGGCAGGTTTCCAAAAACCATTCCATGTGTTGTAGATTCTTTGGCAATGGTATTTTTGGTTCCCGGGATGCCCAAATAGTCAAACCCAATAAAGGAAATGGGTGTGGGTAAAATGATCACCCCTACAAAATTGATAATTGATAATTGAAGATGTGCAATCTTGTAATTGAGTTGGTGTGCTCACCGGACCTCCTGGAGATTTTGAATTCGAACGTAGATATAAACTGTTGGATAGTCAAACTCTATATAAGATCATGAACCAACAGTGGTTTTGAATACAGCCCAAAAGGTATTTTCAGAATCCATAAATTATAATACCACTTTGGATAATATATTGATATAGCACATGTTGTTAAATACCACTGGGTATAATCCAATTAAGAAAATTGTCTTTGACAACATGTGATTGTTTTTCCAACCGGGACCTTTTCAGGGATATTCTAACTATAGATCTTGCCAGGGGCTGACAACTCGGCTCCCCCGTAAAGGGAGCATAGCCAAAAAACGTGACGGGATTCCAGAATCCCGTCATCACCCCCCTATGTGGGGGACGCCCCGGAAAGCGACCGAGTGTGCTACTATAGTGTGTAAGGTGCACTCTGTGTGAAATATATGCTTTGTATGTGAATGATATAAAATATGTAAATATAATATGTATGGTTGGATAGTCAAACTCTAGATAGAATATCCTCTAGATCCATGAAAAGACTGAATTTTTTAAGGATGCTTGGAATTAAGCATGTATTTGTGGTGCTCCCTGCCCCTTCCTCCACATCTACCCATCCAAAGTTCATTCTTGGAGCTGTTTGAAAGCAAGCTTTAAAAGGAAAATGGCATTAAAAAAAAAGGAATCCGAGATCTCACCATCCAAAGTTGAAATTGCAGGTTTTGAAAAGAAACCACAAAAGGAAAATGGGATGAGAAAAGAAATAATCCACGATCTTACCATTCAAAGTTCAATCTTGCAGGTTTTTGAATAGAAAGCCGTGAAAGGAAAAGGAGATGAGAAAAGTACAGAAAAGTAGGAATCCAAGATCGACCATCCAAAGTTCATTTTGGCTAGTGCTGTGCTAGGACAGTTGGGCAAAACTATAGATAGAATATCCACTAGAACCATGTAAAAGACTGAATTTTTAAAGGATGCTTGGAGTTGAGCATGTATTTGTGGTGTTCCCTGCCCCTTCCTCCACATCTACCCATCCAAAGTTCATTCTTGGAGCTGTTTGAAAGCACACTTTAAAAGGAAAATGGCATTAAAAAAATAGGAATCCAAGATCTTACCATCCAAAGTTGAAATTGCAGGTTTTGAAAAGAAACCACAAAAGGAAAATGGGATGAGAAAAGAAGGAATCCACGATCTTACCATTCAAAGTTCAGTCTTGCAGGTTTTTGAATAGAAAGCCGTGAAAGGAAAAGGAGATGAGGAAAGTATAGAAAAGTAGGAATCCAAGATCGACCATCCAAAGTTCATTTTGTGCTAGTACTGTGCTAGGACAGTTGGGCAAAACTATAGATAGAATATCCTCTAGAACCATGAAAAGACTGAATTTTTAAAGGATGCTTGGAGTTGAGAATGTATTTGTGGTGTTCCCTGCCCCTTCCTCCACATCTACCCATCCAAAGTTCATTCTTGGAGCTGTTTGAAAGCAAGCTTTAAAAGGAAAATGGCATTAAAAAAGTAGGAATCCAAGATCTTACCATCCAAAGTTGAAACTGCAGGTTTTTGAAAAGAAACCACAAAAGGAAAATGGGATGAGAAAAGAAATAATCCACGATCTTACCATTCAAAGTTCAGTCTTGCAGGTTTTTGAATAGAAAGCTGTGAAAAGAAAAGGAGACGAGAAAAGTATAGAAAAGTAGGAACCCAAGATCGACCATCCAAAGTTCATTTTTGCTAGTGCCGTGCTAGGACAGTTGGGCAAAACTATAGATAGAATATCCTCTAGAACCATGAAAAGACTGAATTTTTAAAGGATGCTTGGAGTTGAGCATGTATTTGTGGTGTTCCCTGCCCCTTCCTCCACATCTACCCATCCAAAGTTCATTCTTGGAGCTTTTTGAAAGCAAGCTTTAAAAGGAAAATGGCATTAAAAAAGTAGGAATCCAGGATCTTACCATCCAAAGTTGAAATTGCAGGTTTTTGAAAAGAAGCAACAAAAGGAAAATGGGATGAGAAAAGAAGAAATCCACGATCTTACCATTCAAAGTTCAGTCTTGCAGGTTTTTGAATAGAAAGCTCTAAAGGAAAAGGAGATGAGAAAAGTACAGAAAAGTAGGAATCCAAGATCGACCATCCAAAGTTCATTTGTGCTAGTACTGTGCTAGGACAGTTGGGCAAAACTATAGATAGAATATCCTCTAGAACCATGAAAAGACTGAATTTTTAAAGGATGTTTGGGATTAAGCATGTATTTGTGGTGCTCCCTGCCCCTTCCTCCACATCTACCCATCCAAAGTTCATTCTTGGAGCTGTTTGAAAGCAAACTTCAAAAGGAAAATGGCATCTAAAAAGTAGGAATCCAAGATCTTACCATCCAAAGTTGAAATTGCAGGTTTTTGAAAAGAAGCAACAAAAGGAAAATGGGATGAGAAAAGAAGAAATCCACGATCTTACCATTCAATGTTCAGTCTTGCAGGTTTTTGAACAGAAAGCTGTGAAAGGAAAAGGAGATGAGAAAAGTACAGAAAAGTAGGAATCCAAGATCGACCATCCAAAGATCATTTGTGCTAGTACTGTGCTAGGACAGTTGGGCAAAACTATAGATAGAATATCCTCTAGAACCATGAAAAGACTGAATTTTTAAAGGATGCTTGGAGTTGAGCATGTATTTGTGGTGTTCCCTGCCCCTTCCTCCACATCTACCCATGCAAAGTTCATTCTTGGAGCTGTTTGAAAGCACACTTTAAAAGGAAAATGGCATTAAAAAAGTAGGAATCCAGGATCTTACCATCCAAAGTTGAAATTGCAGGTTTTTGAAAAGAAGCAACAAAAGGAAAATGGGATGAGAAAAGAAGAAATCCACGATCTTACCATTCAAAGTTCAGTCTTGCAGGTTTTTGAATAGAAAGCCGTGAAAGGAAAAGGAGACGAGAAAAGTACAGAAAAGTAGGAATCCAAGATCGACCATCCAAAGTTCATTTGTGCTAGTACTGTGCTTAGGACAGTTGGGCAAAACTATAGATAGAATATCCTCTAGAACCATGAAAAGACTGAATTTTTAAAGGATGTTTGGGATTAAGCATGTATTTGTGGTGCTCCCTGCCCCTTCCTCCACATCTACCCATCCAAAGTTCATTCTTGGAGCTGTTTGAAAGCAAGCTTTAAAAGGAAAATGACATCTAAAAAGTAGGAATCCGAGATCTCACCATCCAAAGTTGAAATTGCAGGTTTTGAAAAGAAACCACAAAAGGAAAATGGGATGAGAAAAGAAGAAATCCACGATCTTACCATTCAAAGTTCAGTCTTGCAGGTTTTTGAATAGAAAGCTGTGAAAGGAAAAGGAGATGAGAAAAATATAGAAAGTAGGAATCCAAGATCGACCATCCAAAGTTCATTTGTGCCAGTACTGTGCTAGGACAGTTGGGCAAAACTATGGATAGAATATCCTCTAGACCATGAAAAGACTGATTTTTTAAAGGATGCTTGGAATTAAGCATGTATTTCTGGTGTTCCCTGCCCCTTCCTCCACATCTACCCATCCAAAGTTCATTCTTGGAGCTGTTTGAAAGCACACTTTAAAAGGAAAATGGCATTTAAAAAATAGGAATCCAAGATCTTACCATCCAAATTTGAAATTGCAGGTTTTTGAAAAGAAGCAA